CTTTTAATTTGGGGAAAAGAAATGATTAAGAAATACGAGGATCTTATGAAATTGAATAAGGTAAAAATAAAATAAGTATAATTTTGACTGATCACGTTTAAACTATTTTAAATATTTTCAGATTATTCATGTTGAAAAGGCGCATTCGAAAATAGCTAATGTCAATTTTGTGAAAGACGAGAAAATGTTAAAGATTGAACATTTAATCAAACCTGAAACAATTATCAAGATCTGTGGAACACATGGTTTGGTTGATAATAAAGGTTTGACATTCAAAACGTAGTAAATTTTTCTACAATAGCTGACCATTACATTACTGGACCAATAGGTACGTTTATGAAATTGGAATAAAAGTACTAATAATTTAACTTTCTTAATACTTTTTAAACTTCTTTCTTATACTTTTTGAAAATTGTTTTTTTCTTTCTTATATAAAAAAATATATAACTATATGTATTCATAATAATTATCTATCCTTATTACCGCAGATATCGAGGGCTATTTGAAAACAGAAATAAGCATTCATAGCAATAACAAAAATACAATGAGTTCTGGAATAGGAGCAATAACTAATGGCTCAGAAAAAGTCAACATTCAAATTACTCAATTTGCATCTTCTAATATTTCAAAAGGCACTAAAATCAAAGTACATGGAACTGTAAAGAAAAATGGTAAATAAGCACAAATAATTTGATATTAATTATAATAATAGCGGAGTTTCTAAATTTTACGAATGAACTATTAATATAATAAAATTTTCATTGATTTTCAGAAATTCCTATTACAATTTATTGTGAAGATCTGAACTGCATTCATGTTATGGAAAATGAGCCACCAATGTCTATGGAACAACTTAGGCGTGGCGTTAAGACACCAAGAGAAGCACTTGAAGAAGCCAATAGTAATTTAGTTTTACCGCCACTAGCCAAAAAAATGTGTCTTGGTGAAAATACTGAAAATGAAAAGCCAATGGAGTCAGCAGTTTAAGATTATTTAATTAAAAGAATTTAAATTGTTTCTTTTGTCTAACATAAATTATGTTTGCATACTATATTCATATTTCTAAATTACTTTTTACTATTTTATAAAAATTATTTATTTATTTATTTTTTTTTTTTTTTTTTTTTTTTTTAACGTCGCTCTATTTATGCTCCATCAGTGCTAATTAGCGACGGAGGCTTGCAATGTGTTTGAGAACAAAGCACATGAAACTTTTTTCAGAGGTGCTTGTATCAGCAGGAACTGGGAATCGAACCCGGGCCTACCGGGTGCGAGTCCGTCGTCCTACCGACCGAGCCATTGCAGGCCTCAAAATTATTTATTTAATTTAACTTATATTTATTTAACTTATCTGTACATATTATAAAAAGATATGTAAATAATTATCATTAGTATATTTATACTGACAGTATCAAGACTAAATGTTGATAGTCATAGTTATAGTTGAGATATATATTTATAAAAGTATATTAAAGGGTTAATTATGAACAAGTAGATAATGACTATATATTGTCAATTAAAAATATATTTGTGATAAATTATAATAACAAATCTATATTATTAATTGTTAAAAAATTAATTAAGTAGATAAAAAATTTAATAAAGTTTTCTACCCCTTCCAAAATAAAACTATCTATTTCTTTCTATATTTTCTACCCCTTCCAAAATAAAAATATTTATTTCTTTATAATTTCTATGAATACGTTAGTCTATTTCTATATGCGTGTGTGTGTGCTCTGAAATCGCCTAAGAATCAAATATGAAATGATTTAAGCTGATTTTACTTTAAATATATTTTTGTTTGAATATTAAAATTCTATTTATATCAACGTTAATGAAACATTTAGCCATATACAGCAATAACATGTATTCTAATTCTTTTCTGTAGATCATTGTCATTCTCTTATATATATATTAAATTATTGTAACGGCCTGGAAAATAATCAAATTATTCTCGCAGCCCATTAAGAATTTTATTTTCACTGGTCGGTGCGGGGCTCACCGCCGCCCCGATCAGCTAGCCGCTTCCTGGCGTTCCGCCGAATACGGGCGGGCACGCGCTGCCCTGAAAAGGGATCGCGAAAGCACGGCTAAGCACGAGAGCGTGCGTTGGTTCTAATCACGGACGTGGGAAGGGACAGAGGTGCCTTCCTGGGTACGCCCAACACAATGGCAACACTTGAGTAGGTCAAATCGGGCTTTATTCCTTTAGGCAAATCTTATACACAATATCGCGTGCCGAGATTTTGCTTTGTATCCTATTTTAGAGAGAGAGAGACGCTCGCTCGCGCAACTAGCACACGTTAAATAATCGCTTACAAACGCAACGAAGCTCACCGCGAAGTAGCTGCTGCAGACAGACTACCCCTCGCTAGTCGCCCGCGTTGTCGCCCTTGCTCGGGCGGGCAAGTTCTGCCCCTGGTAATCGCCCACTCGAGATGACGATCTACAGGTTCCGGCGATCCTCGGGGACTTCCTTGCGCACTTTCACTTTTATCTCTTGCCGGTCGCTCTCCTTTTTCTTTCGTTCGTACGCGCACGTGACAATCCTTCCAGCTCGCCGGTCTAAGTCCAAGTCCTCGAAAAATCGTTTTCTCTCCCCACTCTACCGCTACGGCACGCGCCTGATCGAGTCTCGTTCGGTCTCTCTCTCTTCACTCCTCGCTTGCTTGCCCGCTTGGCCATGCTCGGCCTCGCGCGCGGACAATCTTCCGCGAAAACGGCCCCGGCCGTTATATTATATTATTATTATTCTCTTATTATTATTAAATCGAATAAACGGTAAACACCTAGAAATATGAAACTATTAAAATATATACGAATAATTTACAAATAAAATGAAATCACCTGTCTTATATCTATCGATTTAATGGAATATTGTTATAATTTAAATTTCAATAAATTTAAACCACCACAATAGTTATCACCAATGGTGGTGCACATGCGTACTCCGATCAATATTACATTTTAATATTGTGATAATCGCTATTTATTTGTCTACAATATAAAAAGTGAAAAGAAATACAGGTTATTTAATATTTCAGTGTATCATAAAAATACAAATTTAATACCTGTGAAAAGTAATAAAAACAACAGTTAACAATATCAATAATGAAGCTGCAGTAAGTACTGAGTACATTTTTTGTGCGATTTCTTTTATTAACCTTAAAACGCAAAATTATGATGAAAATCATAACATGGTAAACTCAATTAGAGTTTTATCAAATATTGTATTGATATTTATTGCATTCAATAATATATTTTGTTAACATTTCAATTACTATATTATATCAAAAAATATTATCATTATGATGGAAGACAGTTTACTAAAATATAACAAAATGTTTTTATCTGATATTCCAACATTTATTGTGAATATTATCAAAAGTACGATTTCTTCTATATATAATAACAATTAAACAATAGAAAGCCAATTTTAAATGTTAAAATTTGCTTTCTATTATTGATTCTATTATCATCTGCATAATATAAATTATTTTTTTTAGAGAATTGCAATCACTGGAAAATTTCCAGATTAAAGTATTCTTTTCAAGCCCCATTATCAAATCACCTAATGAAGTCATTATGAGTTTGGTTGGAAACGAATACATAATTTGATAATCAAAACCTTCTGATTAATTATAAGGTATGTCTTTCATATTTATTGTTTTATTAATTTTTTTATTCAACAATTTGGAAATTTTTTATTTTTTATTAATAAAAAGAAAGGAGATCTCTAAGTTATTATTACTTTCAAAAATAGATTAATTTCAAAACAATACATATTTATCATGTTTACCATAATTGTAAATGTCAAAAAAAACGTACCGTAACTTACACTCATTATTTCACTGAATTATGAATGTGAAATTGAAAAAATATTAAAGTAAATTTCTACTAAAATTTCCCAATTTTCTAATGTACATATTTTCATTGATTGACTTATTCTATTTTATAATTGATTCACAGCCTAACCTCATTTACATAATTTCTAAAACATAAACATATAAGTTTAGTTAACATATTTGATGTCAAATGTTCTATGAGCATTCTAATATGATTCAAATAATAGTTGGAAAATTTTTTTTCTTTTAAAATGAACAAAAAGTTTGATAATTACTTGAGATTATTAATTAAAACTAAACGAACTATAAAATATTAGAAAATAGTATAGTGTTCCACTGATTTTTCAAATTTTATTCATAATCTATCATGATTTATTTTAATTTGAGATAAATTTTTATAAAAAATTTTAAGCAACAACCAACTTATTTCACCGAAAAAATTAAACATTCAAACAGATAATTTAGTCAAATTAGTATACAGCATTTTAAATTTGTACTTGAAATAACAATACATATAGTTATGAAGCTTTTACATAACTGAAAACAGTATAGGAAAGATGTATGTTGTTTACAAAGATATATATGCTATATTATAAAGTTATATTCTAAGTCCAGAAATGAAAATAATAAATATCCTATAGAATTCCATCTTACATTTGCATAAAATAATACAAAGAGAATTTCATTATACTTTAATTAATTAATTTTTTTTCTTTTCAGGATTCCAAAATTTACTTCAACATTACTTCACTTACATAACTGAACTTAACTTACTTGAACTTTACAAACAAAACTTAATAGAAAACCAAACAACCATACTAAACTATTAACAAACAAAACCTACTTGAATATCTAACAAAGTATTTGTACAAATAAACCTTAACCAATATTTATTTCAACTACAAAGATTAATTTAACTTTTGGAATTGTAACATTATTATTTTAATGTATGTACCTAAAATTGAAGTAATAGTGTATTAAAGGAGAATATTTAAATAAATTAGATTTATTAATTATTAAATGAATATGATTTTTACATTTTTTTGACAAAACAATATCATTTTATTCATTAAACTATAATTTTCTCTAAAATATTATTCATATTAAACTTGTGAATTTTTATTATATTATATTATTTCATTTTACAAAGTTGTGATGCCTGCTAGACACGTTCGGCGTACACCACAAGAACAAGAACAATATCAACAAGCTAAGCGGGTTCGTGATAGAGAAAATGCACGTCGCCGACGACAAGCTGCTCGAGATGCAACTTACCAACGAAATGAAACAATAGAATCTGATTATTTAGGCCCTATGGATGTATTATGTTTACATTGTGAAGCTAAACATTTTAAAGATGAAAGAATTTCTAATAAGGGTTTTTCATTTCACGAATGTTGTAATCACGGCTCAGTTTCATTAGATCCTTTACCCGAATTTCCATCTCAACTTTATAAACTTTTTACTAGCCAGCATCCGAAGTCAAATTTATTTATAAAAGATATTCGCCCTTATAATAATTCACTTTCTTTCGCATCTTTCAATGCAAATTTGTTTGATTTTAGACCAAATCGTCCTGGACCATTCTGTTTTAAAATACAAGGGCAAATATACTATCAAATAAACACAGCATTATATCCATGTGATACAGAAAATCCAACTTACGGACAACTTTTTATAGTTGATCAATTACAAGCATTAGATTATAGATTAAGTAATAATTTAACATTAGACTCTGAACTTTTATTAACTTTAGACGGAATTATACGTGAAAATAACATTTTTGCCCAATCTTATGAAATGATGAGATTAGAACTACAAAGGCAACAATCATTATTATATGATAATACTACTTTTCAACCAGAATTACAATTACTATTTTCTTGAAAACCAGGTGTAGATAGAAGACGATACAATTTTCAACGGGTTAATGAAGTTGCTGCAATATTTTCTACTACAGCAGATGGTGAAATTCCAGAATCATACGTTACAATTAAAAATAAAAATACAAAAAGTTTACAATACGTTAGTACTATGGATCCTAATGTAGAACCCTGGATATATCCTTTATTTTATCCTTACGGTACTCATGGATGGCACAAAAATGTAACACGCGTTAATGATACTAAACGTATTTCTTGAATGGCTTATTATAGACATCGAATAGCCATACGACCAAATGAATTTAATCCATTCATAAGAGGTGGTAGATTATTTCAACAGTGGATAATCGATAGTTACGTGAAAGTTGAAAAAGATCGTATCCAATATTGTAAAGATCATCAAAAAGAATTACGAGCTGATACTTATAAAGGTCTTAGTGATTTTATGCAAAATACAGCTGTTCAAGTTGGTGGGCAAGTTGGTAAAACTGTTGTTCTTCCTTCAACTTTTATTGGATCGCCACGTTACATGCAAAAATGTTATCAAGATGCTATGGCAATCGTAAATGAAAAAGGAAAACCTGATGTTTTTGTTACAATGACATTTAACCCCAATTGGCCTGAAATTAAACAAAATCTTTTACCTGGTCAACAAGCTTTAGATAGACCAGACATTGTAGCAAGAGAATTTCATTTAAAAAAAGATCGACTACTTGATTTAATCACTAAAAAAAATTTTTTTGGTCAAATTGCTGCTTATATTTACGTTATAGAATTTCAAAAAAGAGGTTTGCCACATATGCATTTATTGATAACTTTAAAAAGTGGATTTAAATGGACTACTCCTGATATTGTTGATAAATATATATCAGCTGAATTTTCCAATAAATCAAATAATCAACGATTATATGATATTGTGACGGCTAGCCGTAACTTAGTTTTTTTTTATATTTAATTATTAAATATGACGAACGGAGTGGGAACCTTCCTGATTTCCCACGATGAAAACGCATTCGAAATATAAACTTTGATAGTGGCCCGAGCCTGCGTACTCAAGCTTACAATCAACGCTCTATCCTGCTTTGTCCCACACGTATGTGTTGACAGGGGCCTACGATCATCGCGTATACATCGTGAAGTGTTATCACGCTGATAATGGAAGGGGACCATAAAAATGCAATCTATCTTTTTTTTTCCCACCGATTTTTAAGAAAATATCCGTAATATTAAATAGATTTTCATCAATTTTGTAAGCCATTATAATGCGCACCTTTTTGTCACCGAATAACCAATAAATAGAACAATAATGTATTTTATAATAAATCGTAAAAGGTTTGAATTTTTCTGAATGTTCATAATAGTCACTATGTATCGTCATAATTAATTAAGTTTAGTACAATTATGTATAAGTAATTATAAGCTATAGCGTTACTCTTGCTCTTAAAAGTGGCACTCCGAGAGCCATCTCTGGAGAAAAGGGCCCAAGTTAAAAAGGGACCGCCCTTTCTCTCTCTGAAAATTCACGCCCACAGACCAATAAAGAAATGCTGGATATGAATAGAAAATTTCCGACCAATACAAAATTTAGCCGTTATCGCTTCATGGGCCTGAGGAAAGGGATTTCCACCCAACCACCCACGGCTTATAAAAAGCTCTGTACAAGGCTGGAGAGTAAGTTAAGTCAGAGGAAGTGAGAGGAAGTTAAGTTCAGATAGAGTAAGTGCGGACTGAGCACCAGGAAGTCCCTAATAAGAAGTTTTTACCAGTGAGTGAATCCCGGAGGAAGCATCAAAGAAGAAAAATCACCCAAGTATATTCAGAGCATATAGAGAGAGAAAGAGGCCAAAGAGCAGAGAGAGAACGCAACTTTAATAATAACTAAATTGATAAAATAAAAGTAAGTAAAATCTTAAACCTGGCTATCCTTTTCTTTCTTTAAGTAATCCGCCTTTCTTTTGGAAATTCATTAAGCGTGAGTCTGGTGAATTTCCATTAAAGTCCCTTAAGAACACATTAAGCGTGAGTCTGGTGTGTTCGTAATAACATTTGGTTATTACATTCCGCGTTAGCATACAGTTTTCTCAACGCAACAATATTGCTCGTCCCGGCTTATGTGTTACACGATAGCCAAATCAGAGCAACCCTGAGTTTACGCTTGCTCCAAGCGTACCTGAAAGTGACCCCGACGTCACATAAAAATTTTGGAGGCCCCGGGGGGATTAAATTGTTGCAAAGAAAACTTTTAGGGTTTTCCTTTCTTAAATTATATCAGTGATCAGTTAGAGTAAAAGAAAATTAAGAATAGATACTACTTAAAGTATTTTATTGAATTTGAAATCTGTGAAGAATAAAATAAAGTAAAGAAATAAAAATTTTTTTTGAATAAGAATACAAATTTATTAGTCAGAAAATCACTGATTTAATTAAGAAAATAGAAAATAAGTTTTGTGTCAAACAAGGAGATAGGTTAAATTGAAAGTGAAAATTAATTGGAGTTTATTTGGATTGAACTTAGGAAAATTTTGGGAAAATTAATGGGAATTTATTTTGTAATAAAGAATAGTGAAATAATTTAGAAAATTATTGAAATTTGAATGAGTAAATTAATAGAAGAGTTAGAGAAAAATAAAGAAAATTAAGTTGTTTAAGAAAAGAGTTTGAAAAATATTTGAAATTTAAAAAAAATTTTCAGAGAAGAATCATTTTTTATGAAAGTAAAATTATAAATCAGAATAGAAAATTTGTCCAAAGAAAAGTCTTCTTTTGTGCCTTGAAGAGAGAAATAAGAATAAATGCTTATTACAGAAAAAAGAGGGTTTTGAATTTATGTTTTGTTCTAAAAATTGTATTTAGAAATAAAAAGGTTAATTTAGAAAGATCGAAAATAACATACAGAAAAAATTTTGAGATAACATTATGAATCTTGTCTGAGTCGGAAAGAAATACATTAGCAATAAAAATTAATTTAGAGAAATTAGAAATCCTGCGGAAGAAAATTTAAAAATAAATAAATAAATAAAACTCGGAGTAAAAATAAAAGAGTTTTAGAATATTGTGTTTAAAAGAAATTTAGGAAGTCTTGCTGAGAAAAATAATATAAAAGTAGAAATTTTGAAATAAATAATTTTGCAAATTAGAAAAATTTAAATAAGAAAATTGCCTGTTATAAGTAAAATAAATAATTTAAAAATAAATAGTATCAAAGAATGAAGGGTTTAATTAAGAAAGTTTAAGTAAAAATAAAGATAAATATCTTTCTGTAGGAATCAAAATTTATATCTAAGAAATGAATTGCCGCAATATATCTGTAAAAATAAGATTTTGATAAAACGTTCACATACAGTTTTCATAATTCTACAAACGAATAAGTTTTAATAAAATTTTGTTGTTAGATAGATAAGATTTTTGGTCTTTCTTTTAGTTGTAATGCCACCGTTCGTAAGTTTTAATACTTTTTCTAACGACATAGTCGACACGGTAGATGAATTAATCGAAGACATTACACATTTAAAGGACAGTCAAATATCCGTAATTAATAGGGTTAATAATCATAGCTCCGATATCACAAGAATAAACAATAACGGTCGTAGTCTTAGCGCACGTGTCGCGAAACTTGAATTAGAGAATAAGCATAGAATTGAACAAATAGCTAGTTTGGGAAATATTTGTGTAGATTTAATCAAAACAAATACTGCCCTAAAGAAACAAGTTAAAAATCTTAGGAAGCAAGTACAAATTAATAACAAACTAATTAATAGGAATACGATTTCAAAAAGGGCTTTAGCAAATAAAGTAGATAAATTAGCAAAGTCATTTGAAAATTTACAATTATAAGTAAAATAATTCGCGATAATCCTTAGTTTATACACAGAAATAGATAGGTTTTATTACAATAAATTAGATTGAGATTTCTAGTAAAAGTATATGAAGTTCAGACTTTTTTTTTAAAATCATTCTAATTATTGAAATATAGTATTAATATAAGTTTGGTGTCTTTGTTTCGATATTGTTCTAGTGGAACTAGGATATAGAACAACTAGAAAACGGCTAACTAAAACACAACGAAGAGCTCTCGGGAGAGAGATTCGAAAACACGAGTTAGGATTGCCAAAGGACAAGTATGAAAATGGATTAAAAGAGATATCTAAGCAGAATAAAATAGAGTTAGCTCGTCCGATAGAGATTTGGTCAACACCAAAAGACGAGGTACAGGGTCCACCCAAACAACCTGCACCTTCATCAAGTAACTTGCCTACAACATTAGAAGAAAAGGTCGCCCAATTTCGAAGATGTTTATGTCGACATTTTGTTATCCCGGAAAAGTGTGTTCGTTGTCAACAAACATTTAGGAGGGAATACAAAATACCGTTTTGCGAAAATCAAAAATTAAAAAAAAAGCATAATATTAAAGACGCTGTTATTAAAATTGCAAAAAGTGACGAAAAACTTAAAATACTGAAGGATGGTACAAAAGTAAACCCGGAGGTTTACGAAGTTTTACAAAGATCCTTGCGCGCGATTAAAAAAATTAAGATACAAAAGAAATCTTCAGAGCCTCCTTCTATCCCTAAAGCTCTTTTGAGTCCGCCTTTACCACTGATAACAAAAAAGAATGTAAATTGTAAGGCTTCTCCCAATTTATCCTCTGCTAGTGAGCCGATATCTAGAATAGACAAATTTTTCGGATTAATAAAAGATTATAAGAATTCCTTAATTAAGCTGTAATTACTTAACAATTTGTCAACATAAAATTATGTAAAAATATATAAATACCTGTAATATTTAGCAAAATAAAACACCAAATAAATTTACACCTTCTAGTACAAATTTCATTTTTTTTTCTTCTCCCTTTGTCTGACATATATAAATGCACATAAGTATATTTATTAATGAGCGAAAACAAAGATAAGCGACTTACACGCAGCCAGTCGAAAACCTCGAGTGTCAGCTGGACAATTAGTAAAGTTGGCGGAAATCTAAAGCGATCAACAGAATCACTCCCTGACTTAAATGATATTCAAGACAGTCCTGCTTTAGATCCAGATTTTAATCGAAACAGAGCTTTACACCAAGTCGAAACTGCGTCCACTTCACATACCTTAAGCGACTCTATTATTGATTTACCGATCCCTTTTATTAATTATAACAAAATGCCGCCGAAAATCAATAATAATAGCGAAGCAGAAATATACGCCGAAACCAAAGCATTACCAGGACATGTAGTATCGTTAAATGATGCATTAAGTGTAGTGCCAACATTTGATGGAAGACCAAACCAATGGACCCAATTTGTAGAAGGATGCAAAGAGGCATTAAGTATAATACCGCCAAACATAGAAGAAAACTTAACCAAACGCTTAAGATCGAAATTAGAAGGAGAAGCACGTGCTACAGTAGTAGGACAAACATTTTCTAGTGTAGACGAATTATTAAATCATTTAGCTGACATATTCAGTCCTATCCAAACACTAAATCAATTATTAGGTGAATTAGGCAATGAGTTCCAAAGGAATGAAGAAAAGGTATTAACTTTTGGAAATAGGTTACGACTGTTAAGTAGTAAAATTATTGAAGCCAAAAAGAAAGAAGAGAATCTAGAATCTTTAACGCCTACACAAAAACAGATAATTGAACAAAACATATTTGAATGCTTTAGAAGAGGACTAAAGCCCGAAATTCGGCTAAATTTACCTAGTGACACCACTATCCTGAATGCGCTAAAGAATGCCATAAAAGTCGAAAAAGACCTGGAATTACAATCAACATTGCGAGCACGAGCCTCTAATAATTCTCGTTCTTTCAGATCAATAACCCTCTGTCAAAATTGCAATAAAGAAGGCCACAATGCCCTAAATTGCAATAGTATAATTAGAGAAAGTAAACGATGTAATTTCTGCAAAAAGGTCGGTCACGAAGAAAGTTCATGCTT